ACATCCAGGTGACTAAACCTTAAAACAGGGTAGATTACAATATATATTTTTCTAGTCTATACTAATATCACAGTCTAGTCTCTCTAGTCTAGTCACAGTTATGCAATTCGTTTAATTAAATTACCACGAGGTTAGTAAATCGTAATGTGATAACTGATGTGGAAAAAAACATGCAGTCAAATTGAGAATCTCTTCCTTTTTTGAAATCTGTTTAAAAGACTTCTAAATATTGGAGCGTTTGGAATCGAAATATGTCTTCTCTTTAAGGTTCCATACACAAAATGTAATTAGACAAGAATTTTACCTTTTAGGAAGCCTGTCTGTCCGGCCATCCGTCTATCTCCAGGCTGTATCTCATGTACCGTGATGGATAGTTGAAATCTTCACAGGTCATGTATTTCTGTTGCTGCTATAACAACAAATACTAAAAAACATAAATATTTAAGGGGCTCCCAAGTCAATGAATGATTTCCACATTCAGATTACTTTTCACTCCTTTTCAATTTTACAGACAGTAGATATTTGCAGGCGGTTATTCATCTCACCACACCATAAAATTACATATCTTTTAAATCATTAGTTAGTGTAGTACAATATTTCCCATTTGCCGGGATTGCGGCCCGGTACCGGTACCGGGCCATCAAAATAAAATACTGGCTCGCAACATTCCCGCATCCGAACTTGAATCTGATCCGTTAGACATTACTTCCAGATAATAACTCTTACTAGCCCTTTTTAATTTCAAATAGTTCCAAAAATATTTAGGGTTAGATACAATGTTACTTTCTAAGGTAAATTATAGCAATTGACCACTTGATATTATTTATTTTTAATCTTATGCGGAGTTTATTTTTTTCCGTTTAGTCTCGCGATAAGCTGTTTAGAAAACCTTTACCATTTCGACAACAGACATACCGTCACTAGATTTATATTTCCAGTCCACTCCCCCGATTCCCCAGATATATATTTTATTTCAGCTAGATAGGTACCGATGTGACAGTCCAGATAGTGATTAGTTTTCATTAACCATTGGCAGCAAGTTTCTAGAAATTTCATTCTGATATTTTGACCGATCCGCCTGCGACCTGAACAATAAAGTTTAATAAGTTTGACTCATAGACTTCGATAAGCAACACAACTGGCTCTGAAAAAGCAGATGAGATAAGAGAAAAGAAGTTACAATTATTTATTTTTTTTAAAACCATTTAACACATTATATTTGTTTATTGTTTACATTCACAGAACATTAACTATAATTGTTACATTAAATTATTGTTAATAACTATGTGATATCGTTTGTACCATATTGCACTTTCTATTATAATATTAGTCTATAATATACATATAAAGCTTTTAGAAAATATAAAATTAAAACAGTATTCACGTCAATCGAATCACATCTCTACTCAAACAAGCTCACTGATAACTAATTTAATATACATAAAAATAAGCCTTATTTAACACCAAGCATTTTTATCGTTTGAATATTATATAATTTACTGAGTAGACAATTCTTAATATGAGTTTTAAATTTAGGCAAGGGTAATTTTAAAATTTCCATAAGAACTCTCTCTAGCTGTTTGATAATCTTTCTTTTTTGGACGCCTCCAGCTTATGGTTAGTACCCAGCAACACAACTTGTATAGGTAATATAAAAATAAATATTAGAATGATTTTTTTTTTCTTGTATATATCGATATTTTACAACACAAACACAAATAAAAATGAATAATTTAAAATCACAACGACTGCTAAAGTCGAATAAAAAAAATAAAAAAAGCAAGTTTCAACATATATCCTTCTCCTTTTCGATTTTGAAGTCAGTTAAAAAAATAAATAAGGTGCTTTGGGGTAATCATCAAATTCCGAAAATGACGAATTACCACCAAATGAGGCATTGCTTTTTTTATCAACTGTCGATAAAGTTGACAAAGAAAAAGCTTTTAATAGATGAAAACACTTGAAAATTTGGAAATCGCAAATAAAAAATATATTATCACACGCTCAATCGTCACTTTAATGTATTTCCTATATTCCTGTCCAGACATGTATATGGCTGGCTGGTTTACACGCAATTTGGTCGATGACTTGATTTTTAACTTAATTTTAAACACACAAATGAGAATAAGTAAAAAATTTGGTAACTACTTATGTATGAGCATAATGACCACCTCCGTAGCATTGACGACCTCCGTAGCCGAGTGGGTCGCACGCCGGTTTCAAGGTGTCGCCATCTCTGAGGTCCCGGGTTCGATTCCCGGTCGGGTCAACGTAGAAAATGAACTTTTCTATATTGACTTGGGTCTGGGTGTTGTGGTACCTTCGTTGTCTCAGATACTCCATAATACGGGGGCTTTAGCTACTCATCTTGGAATCTGAGCAATGTATGTGATGTTGTTAAATATTTATTATTTATTTATTTATAATAGAATTTAAAATTACAATCTTATCTTAGAAGTGTAAACCATCCATTTCATAGTGACTTATATATAATACTTAATATTTTTTAATCCAAATCGCAATAAAACTCAAATGCAGATTAAGTATAATATCTACCAATAAGTAACCTACGAAACTCCCTTGGGTAGGTACTTTTTAATATATGTACATACTAAGAGTCACAGAGGTATGCTTGGGTATAAAAGTATAAATAAATAAATATTTTGATTTGAAACCTTTCATTATTTATCAGAATTTGTTCCACATCGCTGATAGACATTACCATTTATGTATTTCGTGGTAGGATGGTAATAAATACTTGCCTTAATTCGGTATTGCTCAATTATTTTCTGAGAAATGTAGGTAGGCTATGCTTTAACTTCAAGGGGCCGAGTTGTATAACTGCAACAGACGTCATTATCAATGTAATCATGTTATTATATTAGTAAAGACTAGAAAAATACTTATGTAGGTCTGACATAAATTAAATATCTACTTTTTTTAATTTGGTCCGAGTATCCGGGGTATCTGAAAATGGCTTTTATATATTAATACTAACCTTAATTCTAGCGAGGGACGTTATTCCTATATCAATTAGCAAACCTGTAGCATCATAATTTGCGGCAGTCGCATACAAAGTTCCACCCCCTAGATTATGGAGATGGGGGGATGAAAGTTCCAATATAGAATATTGTTTTTCTTTTTTATTGAGTCATCAAAATGTTAACTCTGTGTCTCGACCAATTTTCGACATTGCTATTTTCGTTTGCAGGTAAAATTATTGGCAACAACGCACAGAAGTTCCGATTCAATAAAACATGCTCATTGACGCTAGAAGCATGAATTTTCTTTTTATGAAAAACACCCGGTTTCTGAATAGCACGTCTCGAGACTGCACTTAAACGTCACTTAAACAGGTTTTCGTTTCTCAATTTGTTTTTTTTTTTTTTTGCAAATTGAAAAAAACTAGGCCTGTTTGCATTGTGATAAGTTAAAAAAAACTTAAGTCGTTGATAATAGTCAGTTGATATTTTGGACTTTTCTCAATTCAGAAATCGGCCGTAAGACTAGGATAACTAATAAGTAAATAAAAAATATTATTATCTTAATTTGATTTGCTTTATTAAAAGACCTTTTTTTTTTGTGGAAGACATTACATTTTGGTTAATTTCTCGAAATTCTTCAAATATGTGAAGATGATGATCACATATTTTATAAAACAAGCGTTTCTGCTTACTTGCGAGTTACAACAGGATGAAAAATCGATCAAAATAAATAAAAGAAGAAAGTTTCAAACTGGATAATACATAATCATAATATACGTACATATATGCAATATGAACATATGCATATCTATACAAAAAGCAGTATATACTAATCTTTTTCGTTAGAAAGCTTTTTTTTTTTAGGGAGTTACAATGTTATATTCATATGTCCACTGACCGGTAGAAAGTAGCCAGGACGCGAGTTTCCCATAATAACAATATGGCCAACTTGGATGTGGTCGAGCTCCAACCAGCTGACCTTGGTCGTGGCGTCGAGGAGTGTGCATCTGCGATGTTGCCATACTGGAGAGACTAAAAACAAAAAATATTTTACTTGTCTTTATTAACTTTACAATCTATGGAGATGTGAAGTCGTTCGATATGATTTATTTTTAATGAAACTTCGCCGTGACTACATAAAAAAGGAAGTTAAATAAAAGGTAGCATTTAGAGTGTTTTACTTCGAAAATTTTCTTCATTAAGAGTTTTTATAATCTTAAATGAATATTGAAAAATGAGAAGCGTATTAAAACGAACTCCTATATAATAAATTTTGATCCCTTCGAGGTACCCCAAATTCCGTAATTCTTATGTGGCAACACTCCTATACACAGTACGTTGGTCGAACAGCCATTCACACGGTCCGCCAACCATCAGATGGTCGGTGATTGGACCTCCGACCTCCGACCACCTACCGCGTAGATTGCACTTAAGACTTGAATCGCTTGTGCGCGTGCGCCCGTTTGCGACGACAGTATACAGCTAAGTGTGGTAGTGATAAGACGTGTTGCTGCTATATTTTCCGTAAGTTTTCATAATTTTGTTTTTTTTTTTGGTAATAATGTTTGTTGTCGTTATATTTGTGTTTTTTGTTATTGTTACTTGTTTTCGTTATTTATTTTGCCTTTGATATACTGTTTTTTCTCTTATAATTGATTTTATTTGAATATCATACAATGATGTCCGCTAATTGTCTTACGGTTTTTCGGTTTTATCAAATCATTTTGCAGTAACCGTACAAGCAGTATATCAAAGACATGTTGAGACGCCAAAATAAATTATTACACTAAAATTCACTGTCGTTAGAATGCAAAATTGCCACCAAGGAAAACGTTCCAATTTTCGAGACCGTGGAAGTAGATGTGCATAAATCGAGTTCTAATATAAATAATGGTTTATTATGTACTATTCGCGAGTGTCTTACAAAACAAAATTAGCGGTTATAGTCAAGGAACTCTTCCAAAACGAAGAAAATGTGAATTAAGTTAGCTTTTGTTTGACGACGATTGTACTAGCGTGCCCCGGTTATATTTATGTTATAAGATATATGTTATTATGCTGTGTGTATTATATATCTTTTTCTTCATGCCGGTTTCCCTTGCGGGGTATACGTAGAGGACCGAACGCCTTACATATATTTTTCGCATCATCCACTTTCATTACTATTTTCATACATACATACATACTAGCCGGTTTTTATGGTTTTTGACATCACCTGAGAGCACGCGATTGATTTGATCATGAAAAGTGTGTCGTGGCCTTCCTCCGCTTCTGCATCCTTCAATTGTCGAGTTGTATATCAGTTTTATCGTTCTCTCGTCCGGCATTCTTTCTACATGTCCCAGCCAATGGAGCATGTTTCTGTTGATTTTTACACCGACGCTATCTTTCGTCGAAGTCGATCACCGTCACCGTCGATCCATTATCTCGGCGGTATGCCCAGAGTTCCTTTCGTACTACTCTGTCAAATGCTTTCTATAGATCCACACAATCGCAGAAAAGCTTCTGATTAACGGCCTTCTCTACGATGTTGCGGAGCGAGAAAACTTGATCCGTGCATCATCTATCCCCTTCCATTTCTGAATCCTCTCTGTGCCTCACACAGAAATCGATCGGATTTCATAAATTTATCTTTAGTTCTAATACATATCGAATGTAATTCTTCCATACAAGAAAATAGTTTTTGGCTAATTCTTTGAAATAGTCGTTTAGAATAATATTTTCTGTTCTCTTAGTTATACTAGTGATTAGTTATTATATAAAAAAAAAAAAAATGTTCGTGCTTCTAGAATCAAAGTCCATGTTTTATTAAATCGGGACCACGATGCAACGCCGAAATTAATTATATCTTTGTCTTTAAATTTTTAATTCTAATCAAAAAACACTTAAAATACACAGCGTAGAATGTACGGTTTACGATTGCTGCACACAAAATATTTTTTACAGAATAATTTATATATAAAAAATGTATTTCGTGATTCTTACAAATTGTTTACACAATTTTAAATCTTGAATTCTCATTATCGAACACAGATGACTCCAGGAGTGAAGCCAGATTTCCCACCAAAAACAATGTCGTTTGCGACGGTGAACCCTGTGGTAGCACCAATTATGCCCACCGTGGCCCGAGTACCAGCTGAGATTGCACCACCTGTCAACTTACCTGTAAAACAGCGGCCTGGTCCGGTAAGTTAATTTGTAATACTTTTATAAAAAGTTAGTGTTGACAACTCGGCTATGAGCATACTGTTGTCTCAGGCGCAGCTTGAAGATTTCGAAAACCGTTTTGTCCATACCGCCCTTCTCTAGAAGTGTTCCCTCACTGAAGTAAATAATTAAAGTCATTATTACTTTGTCAAAATTCAGTTGAAAACGTTTTTTGGTTTTTATTTTCATTTAATAGTAATATATTAAAATAGTAATATACATATTCTATATGTGGGATTCCGCAAATACCGAGATCCCGCGGGATTGAAAATTCCTAGTCAGACTGTCTTAAAGAAATGTATTCGAATGTATGTAATCGATCGCGTAATCTATTGCCGACGTGTGACGATGTATGACGATATTATTTGTTTTCAGCCGGTGAACAAAGCTGGTGGTCGCATCGTGCCAGTGAGCGGCGCCCTCGCATCCGCTAGACGCGATCCACGCCTCGCTCGACTAGTCGCCCCGCAACCTATCGCACCCAACGTATTCGATATGAGACCTCTCGAGCGGGTCACTAAACGCAAAAACGTTATCACCATCGATGTCCGCCCCGATGCTCCGCCCGTGCGACACCCGCGCGATCCCCGTCGCCGCGATCCGCGTCTTAACAAACGTGACGACCGCCAACAAGGACAACCGGAAACGCATCCATCCATCCTCGAACGCCTCATTGAAATAAAAAGCATCGATAAACTCCCGCCGATACCCAAAATACGGCGAGAGCGAGAACCAGACGAGGAGCAAGCCGTCGTTCCTAAAAAGAAGAAAGACACTCGGCCTGCAGCCGACGCCAATAAGGAAGCAGCAGAAGCGTCAAGTAAGATATCAATAAACTTGCTAACAGACGTTAGGACGAGGGTACGAGTAGATTTAAGAGGGTTCATAATAAAGTATTTAACAACTCTAAATTGTGTACCTATCTTACAATAATCTAACAATAAAAGACCGAATTTCTGCAATTAAATTTGAATTTCAACATTAACAGATTAAGTTTGAAGTCGATCAAGATAAAATGAAGATAAAGAGTGTCGTGTCGTTTTGCAGGCGTAGGCGATGTTGTTGTGGAGAATAAGGACGTTGACCTTAGAGTGTTGCATCCAGCAGTGGCTGAACCGAAAGCGGCCCCCGTTGCCTTAAAGAGATCATCCGCAGAACTACTTGACGGCAAACCTAAGAAGACTAAAATTGATAAGTTCAATGTGTTAGTATTTTCTTACGCATAATTGATTTGAGTATACATTAAAATGATACATTTTACATTAATTATTCTTATTTATTTACTTTACAGTTTGTTCGGTAACGAAGATGTTGATCTTCGCCAGCTACCGCAAGGAGGACGACGGATGTCGTTTAGAAAATCGCCAAGTATGTATAAAAGTGGATTATAAATATTGTCATAGTGTTAATTGAATAATAAAATGATGATGCTAATTTATATAAAATTATAATAATTTTCCTTATATTTCAGGTATCGAAAGAGAACGAAGACGTACTACAAGATTGATTACAGAAGACACAGACTTGAGGGTAGAGAATGGCAAAGATTTCGGTGCAGAAGATCATAAAAAGTCCATATCTATTATTATGAGTCAGGCTAAGAAACACTTTACGGACGGTCAACTTGATAAAAATCAGTACAACACTCTAATGTATCAAGTGCTACAACTCAAAGAGAAATTACAACTTAAAGAGGCTAAGCAGAGGGAATCATTGGAAGTATCGAAACGAAAAGTCAAAGCTCAAATTCAAGAAGCCAATCACAAAACACCTAGTCGAAAGACGTCCCCTAATACATTAGGTGATATCGATGAAAGAATCACACCACCCGCATTTTTTGATACTCCTCTGGATTATCAAAGCTATATGGCAACTGATTCAGTGATGAGAGTAAACTCAATGCCCCTGTTAGATACAATCGATGGACCCAAACATGGTCTGTTGCCTATCCCACCAGCGATACCGCAGAATGGACCGCACCCATTCCCTCCTGCTTGGAGAGGGCCGCGACAGCGAACGGAAGAGTATGTGCCTAGAAGATTCCGAGCACCGGGTCCACCGTACTTCAGAGGAAAGTTTGATAAGCGAGGTGGCGTTTGGCCGCCGTTTGATCCCCGGCCAGCTTTACCTCCTCTGCCAACACCTAAAATTGGAATGTGCCAAGGACAGTGCCCTCTGCAACCTTATGAGAGAATTTCTAATCCACCACCGCTCGGTGTCACCGACGTTATCGTACCACCCACCGACTTCAATGTCCTGGAATATATTGATCAAGATCCTTTCAGAACTATACAGATCGATGGTATCGCTCGAGAGATTAGATTTTATGGAGACACCGCGATTATTATGATGGATTGGGACGATCCACGCGAAATAAGGTTTTTACCTGGACGTAGAAGAGTCACGTTCGACAACAAGGACTCTATAGTTTTATCTTTCAATGAGGGATACAAAAAGGTTGAAATCGATGACCAAGTGTTTGATATTAAATTTGGTGCTCCAACTAGAGAGCTGTACATAAACGGGAGGTGGTTTGAGTGTATCTTTGGTGGACACCAACCTTTAGGTGTCATCATTGACGGAAAGCCTAGGTTGGTGCATTTAGAAGGACCGCTACCTCAAGTGGACATAAGTAAGACAAAACGGACTGATCTTGTTGCCGGAAAAATCAACCTTATAGTGAATGCTGTTCACATATGCCCGGTGTATTTGGACGCTAAAGTGCAGAAGTTCCAAATCGATGGCAAATTGTTTACTCTTCGTTTTGTGGACTCATTTAGGACCGTCTTGATAAACGAGCAGCCTTTCGAGGTAGAGTTTGATGATTTGCCAAGACCTATACGCGTGGGTGACGTGAAATATTTTATTAGATTTTCGGCTTTGCCGAAATACGTAAAGCCTGGTTTGTCAAAAGTCGCTAATATGGAAGGATCGTCGGTGCTGTCGCCGCTAGAACCGGTAGTCAGCTTTGAGAACATTCACGACCAGAAACCTCTCTTTGCCACGTCGGAAAAGATTCCAGGCCTAGAAACTCGCTCCGAAGAAAAATCCCCCGAAAATATCTTACCCATACTCGGCAATAATATCAATGTGAACGACTTGTTCGCTAAGCTAGTAGCGACGGGCATCATTCAAGTACCAAATGAATCAAAAAAAGGAGAGAAAGCATTACCAACAAAGACCGAAGAACTAATGAAACCTAAGCCTAAAGAAGATAAGAATGTCATACACAGAGTTGATCTTTTGAAGCCGGAAACTTTGAGAGTGTAAGTATTATTAAACTTAATTTGTTTTAGAGCTGTATTTTAAAATACTATTCATAAAATTTTTATGTGCAGTTTTGAAAAATAAATATAAATTGAGTGTAACTTAGGTTTAGATTTACCCAGGACCTAACAGGACTGACAAATTTGTAGTTTATATATATTGTAAAGATACTTATTTCTTGCGGCTTTGCGGTTTGGGTGGATTGTCTGAACATTGATGAAATGAAAATACGCTCTGTAGTATAGCGAAAGAGTAACAAGTGCTTGAAAAATTCGACAGTCCCGTTAGGTCCTGGGTAGAGGTCAGTGGTTAGAACAGTCGCCCGGATTGCGAAAGGTCGTGGGTTCGAGTATGGGACTCGAAACAAAGAAGTTTCTTAAGCATTTTTCATTAAAAATAATAATATTTTTGTTAAATTTGAACTTACATTGCAAATTAGGTAATTGTTTAAAATATACGAGCTCAAGTTATTCATATTCAGGGAGGCCGCTTACGAAACAGTAATGGGTTACAGCTGCGTCTCCATGATTGATTTTTTAAGTGTGCGTGTATATGTATATCGATCTATTGCTTACAAAATCTATATTTTCCAGAAAGCAACCAGGTCTAGTAGAAAAACTGTACGCCGGCATGCAATGCTCCGGGTGCGCGACGCGTTTCCCTCCAGAGCACACTGTGCGGTATTCCCGACATTTGGACTGGCACTTCAGACAAAACCGAAGAGACAAAGACTCCGCGCGAAGGGCACATTCTAGACGCTGGCACTACGATCTATCCGATTGGCTGCAGTACGAAGAGGTCGAACATCCGGAAGAAAGAGGTCAGTGGCGTGGAATTTTATTTCATCAAGTCGGTTGACTTAAAAAAACTTGACCCACTCTCTTTGAACATTCTCTATAATAGATGTTTTCATTTATTACAGAAAAGAGTTGGTTTGAAACGGGCGGGGCGATCTCTACCGGAGGCGACGGGGCCGAGGTCCCGAGCGTGGCGGCCGGAGCGCTCGCCGCCCATCACTGTGCCCTGTGCGGTGACGCCTTTCAGCAGTTCTACCACGAAGACGAGGAGGAGTGGCATCTACGCAACGCTGTACGTCACGAACACAACAACTACCATCCGATGTGCCTCGACGACTACAAGGTACATGAGTGTTCTTGTTTGCTCGATCGCTTTAGCTGTTGTTTCAATAGAATGTGTTATTAATCTATTACCGTTTTTTCTTTGATTAGTTGTCGTTAACGAAGAATGTGACACCAGCAGAAGAGTCATTAGATGATGTGGATGAAGATACCGATTCACAGTCCGACAGCGAGTCTGTAGTGGAGGTTATTGAACCGATGATCGAGGAACCTGAACCGGTTGAAGTGAGTATATTATCAATGGTATTTATACACAATAATATTTATACAAATCTGATGGTTATATGTTGTTTTCAAGATTATTCATTTTATCATATACATATCATCGATACAGGTGTATCCTTTGACTGGACTCATAGACAATATGGAGTTGGACAATATTTCCATACGGATTGTACATACATATATATGTAGTGTGCTAGTACATATTTTAATGTTAATTTAATAATATTTATTTATCTAAAGATCGATAACGAAGGCGATGAAGATGACGTGATATACATAGCGGAGCCAGTAGAGGAGGTGTTGGTTGAGGATGACGCGGACACGGATGATGAGACGGTCGCCACGCGGGCTGAACGCGATCGTCTCGCTCAGATAGACTTCTCCGGGATCAAGGTCAAGCAGGAGCCCATAGATCCAGGTCAGTACATCATTAGTCGGGTTATGATTTTTCTATATTGTACCCTGTTTTGCCGTGTAAACAAACAGGTTTAAAAACAAATGGTGATTCGAAGTAGTTTAATTGCTCCTACGAAGAACGTGTTTAATATTAGATTTATTAAACACATTCTTCGTAGGATATCTTTGACTCATAGAGTCGGTCAATTGCACGAACGTCCATTAAGGTTTAATGACGTCTTTAAGCTAGCTCTAATGAATGTCAAATTGAAAAGTAATGAAAATTTTAATGGACGTTTGTGCAACAACTGACTGAGTATATCTTAAATCTTACATAAGTAGTAGGTGTACTATACCGTCTCTTATAGCCAAGAAAATAGAAATACAATGTTGTACTAATAGTAACTTTTTTTTTTTTTTGTACAGACGACGACGACGAGCCCGTGATCACCGCTGAAGAGTGGTCTCCCCCTCCCGTTGTGGATACCACACAGGCTTCGGTCCAATCGTCTTTGGACGGCAACACACAGTTGGAAGTGGCCACAGTACGAGCTCCGCCAACCGCTATCAGGATCAATATCTCCAAAACCGTCCCCACTTTACCGGAACGTAGACAAGAGGTAGAGAAGGACGAGCCCCCGCCACCTGTCGAGGAACCAGAACCAGAACCGGAGTACACCATGAAACCGCAACTCGTAGGGCTACATTTAAGTAGACAACCGCCCGTTCAACGTGGATCTGAGCTTTCTGGACTATGCTCTATTATGTAATTTAAATACGTTACGACAAGTGGGTTCCCTCTCTTAACCATTGATATCAACTACATGCGCTAATAATATCATGCGCTAACACGATTCACGCGTGAAATTCAAAAAAGATGAAAATGAGTATGTACGAGGAAAAAATGATTCAGGTAGTAAAGTAAAATACAAAAAACATAAAATAATAAAAAAAAAAGACAGGAGGTAATAATAATTAAAAAAATAGATAAATAAAAAAATAGAGGGAGGGAACCAAGGGCGGGGGATGTGTTAGTTTGCATACAGTACAACGCCTCAAACTGACGCATCACCTATTTTATCACTAAACCCAAGTGATAATCTGGCGAACGGCCTCAGGGGAGAGCGCGGGTCGTGTAGATCCCTGAGGCAAGCCTGACTATCTCCTTCACGTGGTTGCCGCCTGTTATTGGTCTGATTCCCTATGAAACAGACGTAACTGAAATAGTCAGACGCGTCACCCCAACCATCATCTCTCCTATCATAATCACTTCCTTCCTCATCCCAATCTACCTTCCACTCCCTAAGACTGTCGCGCCATCATTAGGCTTAGTCTTCCAGTCCACTTGGCCAAGGGAGGCCAAGAGAGGTGGTAGCCAAGGTGAGCCTCTCCTGCGCTAAGACCTGCGCAGCAGTGCCGTACGCGGGGATGAAGGGATCCTGGTGTTAGAGCCGAAGGGGTATCTGCGGCACCCTGGAAGCAACACAGCACTTTGGCCCGGATTTCAATGCCGGCTAGACGGCGGTCACGTGGTCCAGCCAACGTGGTAATGGTCATGGTGTCTACCGTCTCTGGGTCACCGGCGAGGGGCGTAGGTAGGGGCCTGACTTTACCATCAGAGTGACAGACCCTGCCATGCTGATGGAGCAAGGCAGTTCCTGATGTCGCGTTAGGGGGAAAACTCTGTGGCGGGTGGGACTGGTAAGAACGAAACTGTACCATTATTTTCAGACGAGGGAAACAAAACATAAGGGAAATTACATTTTTTTCATTTTTTATTTTAAATCTTAAAGCATCGTTTAATTGCTCTGTCGTTAAAATTTCCATCTCTCAAACTCTTAATTGACTTGAATTCATTTCATTAATTGATAAGGACATATTTTTTTTCAATAGTCTACACCCCGTGTTATCAGCAGTGGTCGGAATTAGGTAGAGTTATTCATGTACTTACACTGATTTCATACAGCGAAAGAATAAAGTGGATATGCCTCAAATCCCGAGATTAATTTTAAAGAGCAGAAAAAAATCCCTTGATTTTTTAAATAAAAAGTTATTTACTTTTACACAATTTAAACTAGTGCACGCACGACGTTGCCAAACTTACATCAATGACATCAGATGCCCAAAAATGTCCAAGATTGTCCAATAGAAATCCCGGGAAGGTCCACATTAATATCAACATTTCGATGCAAGTACATAAATAACTCTACCTAATTCCGACCTCTGGTTATCAGACTATATTAATATCATTATGTTGCAATACATACATATGTGCAAACATCTATTTCTATACACAAATCTTCAAATCGTACCGGAATTGTGATCATCGCAAAAACGTGTATACTAAGCATTACTTATACCAGTGACATAAAAGGAAAATGGCTTTAGATGACAACGAAGGCGTTTTACAATTGTCTCCTTATTTACACTACAGTTATTCAAATAAACTTTAGTCGATTTCAAATCGGATTTAGTAGTCACGTTACTAAACCGGATATCTACGTGTTTTGTTTTTTAATCAACAGTATTTTCTTTTATCATGTTCTTAAAAAAGCCTGTAGATTCGTCATGCCCTATATTTTTACAAATAACGCACGTTTTAATAGGTTTAGGTTGTTCGCGGATAGGTAGACCTGACTGCCCACACAAAAAGCATAGTTAGTTTCTGAGACAAACTCTCATTAGGTACCTACTTTCGAACGTTTAGAGATGCTAGGTCGCGAAATAGTTTCTATTTGACGCTTTTTCGGTTTAGTATAAGTACTAAATAACGTTATTAAATCGGAAGTAGTTCGAACACAGCTATTGAAATATTATGCCATCCGAACATTTACATCGCGAATATTACCACATACTAACGCAATTATTTTGCTCTTCCGTGAACGATACGTTAGTACGAGTATTTCTAAGCAATCTTATTTTTACCCTAGCGTATGAATCAACAGTATGCCACAGCTTTGTATAACTTCTCGGAAAGATTTTTCTTTTGGCGATAATTTCCGATTTAAGATTCTCCCAGGTTCTACCGTTTTGAGGTTCACACGATTCAAGCCAAGTAATGCAGAGCCCTCAAGGGCTTTACCTACCTTTGCTACCGTGGCGATGCTGCTCCAACCGAACTCCATGCTGGTCCCCTCGATCTCTATGCTCCAGGCTGCGGCGGCTGCTTTATCGCCAGTGCCCGGGTCGAACAACGGAAGAGCGATGGTACCGTCATCCTGGCGTTGACTGGCAGTAACAGTATTGCGAATGGCGGACAACAAGTTTTCGATGACAGTATGTAGTATCCATGGTTGTCTGAAAATAAATATATATCATTAGTTCAGTATTTTATTATCCCTTTTATACTTCTGATGAGAGATTTAATTAAGAAAGAGGATATAAAAAGCTATGACTTGCTAGAAAACAAGTATGTATATATTTCTAACTTTTTATTTTACTAAACTATTATATTTAATAAAATTATAGGTTGGGTGAAATCAAAAAAGGGTAGGTACTAAATTAAAAAGTATTTTACTTCATTTCCACAAAAATTGGGCAATTAAATAGGTATATCGACAACAAGTTTTAATCACAAACTGAACAACTTGATTATAAAATTGTATAATAGAAATTATGCTACCTTATAATATATATATAAAAAAAAAAAAAAAAAAACTTACTCGATCACAAAAATTAAATAAATTGTCTACTTAACTGCAGCAAGTACACCAGAGGAAGGAAAAAAAGGAGCCGTGACAAGAGCTGGATTGACTCCAGTTGGGAGTAGCTATCCGTCTCCCATTGTCGGAATCGGAATCCCACCCATTCCACTTTACCGTCATTTTATCAAAACAAAATTCAAATCGCTTAATAGTATTAATGATAAATTATGTTAAAACATATTTATTTAAAAGTCATAAATAAACTATGTTTAAGTAAATACTTTTTATTATTATGTAATTAAAATTGTTTATTTTGTTTCAGTGATTTCTAATCGCACAAAACATTTACGAAAATATGTAAATTAATGTTAAGGTACATTAAATGATACATAATGATTAAATTCTAATACGAAACAAAACAGCTTTTAGTTAGCTTACGATAAATCATAGACAACATTTCTTAAAAAAAAGAAACTTAACTGACGTCATTTCACAATATATTTTCTAGCATTTCTTTGAATCATAATCGTTTTATTTCTAAAACAGTAGCAACAAATAATAGATACGTTACATACGGCTAATGGTGGGTGTGAACATAAACTTAAGATTAGCCGGCTAAACTTATGTGTAACTGCAGGCCTTTGGCTGAAAATGTAGAAGGAAATGGAAACGGAAAAGGAAACAATGTAATAATGTTTACTATTTTGATACGTAAACTTTTATGAAAAAATCACTCATTACCTATATATGTCGTCGCCTGATCGTTGTATTGGCCTGATCGTGATATGCCTGGGCACATCGAGATACGCCGGCACTTCATGATCTGGCCATTCTACACCGGCCATATCGTTTGACGATTTGCCCAGCCATACCTACTAGGGAATATCATTTGTATAGCTTTATAAACCAAATATGTTTCCTTCAACAAAAGCGGCCGGCGAAGTACCAGAAATGAATCGCTTTTGTTGAAAGAAACATATGTATGTGGTTTATAATGCCTATGTAGAATGGCCAGATCGTGAAGTGCCGGCGTATCACGATGTGCCTGGGCATACCACGATCGGGCGACGACACATATACTTTTATGGACCTATGTAACCTATGTTCAAAATTACAATTACAAAATATGAATTACTTAAAACAATATCTACCTAATCATTAAAATAAAAAAATAATATGGAACCATTTGTTAATTACAGATAGGTACTTCTGTAGGTACCTATTTAAAATTACAAAATAAAACTTCTTCAGTGTTAATTACTTAAAACGAGGACCCCTCAAACCTTCCGCCGGTCCGCGACCATCGAATACATTTTTAGCCATCTTGTTTTGGTTAATGTGCACATTAACCGGCTAAAGATGGAATATCACGACGCAAATTAACATGATATCGAACTTTAACCGGCTAATCTTAAGTTTCATGTTCACACCCACCTTTAGTCGTAACAAATATGTACAAAGTAATTTTTTAATTTTTGTCTATGGCACCCATAAGTTATGAATGATATTAATGAAGAATATGATCTGTGGTTCTGTTCGCACAACAACAACAACAATAATAATAATAATAATCATCGTTTATCGAAGAACAATAGCTATTACTCTAGCATGAAAATAGCATATTAATTTGATTATGAAGGTTAAATACAGGCAATTAAAATCAATTATGTATATTTAGGAATAGATCATTATTAAACTATTAAAAGATTTCAGAGAATTAAAACTATGTCATTATCGTTATAAAAAATTCAATTAGGAATATAGAGAGAGAAAAACAACAATGTTATGGAACAATTATTATTAATGTATTTTGTCAGCTAAATGTTCATGGACTTTGTAATAAATAACATTTATGCACTAAGAGTTTTCCTAAATATAATAATACTCTTTGCTAAGAGTTTTATCAGGTTCTTTTTAAATAGGTTGAGTGAAGCGTCTTTCACATAGTTCGGTAATTTATTATAGATTCGAACAGTCGTCTGATAACGGGTACTGCTTTGCATTGTTGTACTTACCTAAGTATATTGGGTAACACTAGTCTTTCAGGATAGGTATCCTCTGTAGTCATTATTTCGTTTTCGTCACAGTTTCGTTATAGCAACATAATCTTAAAGTCTGAAAATATGGTTTCCAACTTATTTCCAACTTGCTCAAAAGCAATGAATGCCCTATCGATATCTACTGAATTACCCTACATTATGACTCCGTATCTTAGAATCTTTTTTTCAATGCCTGAGCATGTTTGAATTCAATATAATTTTCCAGATTACAGTTCGGATTTGAACTTAATGAAAGTGTGGCGACTGATACGTAGCGACATCTTATTCATCGCATTAATATTGCTACAACAATCGATTGCGAGAAGACTTGCATCGTCACAGCAATCGATAGCAAGACGAACTGCAAGAAGTTTCAACACCAAGTAACGAGATGGCGCTGTACTATACAAACATCATAAATTAATAACTACTACAAGGCAATTAGAACAAAGAAACCTACATCGTACAGAATAAGTTTCATTACTAATTAGCATAAATAGAACGTCCAACTTGTATCGATTGGACCGCAAGCATTCTCAGATTTTGTACATTTCGCCACGCCCTATCATTAATGTGGGATCTGCATTCTAACGATTTTTGTTTTTTTGTATAAAACCTCATAAAATTCCGTACGCAAGGAATAATATCACAAAAAAATAATTGTTGATTTTATTATAATTACGAAGATAATTACGTTATTAATGTCGGTAGTGCCGCTTGTGTACGTACAAAAATGAAGGTACTCACTTACAGTCAATTTTGATCGGACATAACCGACGAGAGGATGTGTCGATCTTGCGTCGATCTGCCAGTTACATAGTTAATGTCAGGAACAATGCACATTGGTTCTTTGGAGCGCCAAATTGTTGTGAAACATTACATACACTCTGATTTCAAAAGATATAATGTCGGTCGACCGCAAAGAAGCAGATCCTCAAGGATTTTAAGCCTTATTTTACCAAAAAAAAAAAAAACGCAGTTGTTTAAAATGGTGCATGTAATGATACAGGTAATATTACAAAGTTATTAACTTTATGTAAAGACTTGCCACTCATATTTTATTAATAAAATAGATTTCAAATTTATAATTTTGTATAGCAAATTATTTCCATTTTTTTGGTATAAGAAACAACGTATTTAGGAAAATTAACAAAATATACTTAGTTTTCCGATCAAAAACTTCATACCTACCATATCCGACTTATTGTACAGAATTTAATCTAGTCAAAAATGTTAAATGTGCCACATCCGACACGTAGTATAGAATTTTATACAACAAAAAAAGTTGGATCTACCACATCCTGCGTAAGATAGTAAAATATGTCCGTGTAAAATAGCTTCACGTGACATTGTAACGTATATAAAGTAAAATAAATTAATCTATTATATTTGTTTAATGTATCGTAGAATAAAAAACACCCATGCCTAATTTCGTAATCCTAACCCTTAAAATATCGTTTTTATTCAACTTTTCATCTTTAAACCGCTCTCCTGTAAAGTTGCATATTTGTAGATACTACATTAATGATAGGGCGTGGCGATTTGTCATTCATTCCACCACACTAAAGGGATTCTTTTATGTCGTTGTGAAAGATCGCAAACATTATCTATATTATTTTTATTAATATTTCCTATTTTAGATTTCACTGTAGATGAAACTCGAGACTGATTGATGGCTCCAATTATTAAACTGCAGAATGTGTTATAACTTGTAAATAAATCAAATGGATATTTATCCATTAATTAATTTAAATTTATCTGTTTTTCGTATTAACAAAAAGCAGATAAATTTAAATAAATATGTTTTTCAAACTCATTCCAATCTACTAATTTCAGATTTGCATGTTAAGGGATATTGGAAGAAACTGGAGAAGGTTATGGAGCAGAAGAATGTTTATATTTGATAAGAGTTGGTAGATGATAACTATACCAAGTGAATCAGAAGATACTTGCCAATCACACGACAAAGCTATAGATGAGGTAACAAAGGCTAAGTCAAGACCATGGCTTTGAAATATGAGAACCAGTTGTAGTTGCTTGACCATCATTTAAAAGTACTAGATTATTGTCATCTATTATGTCCATAATACTATGCCCTCTGATATCGGTTTTAGTACACCCCCGACTTATATTAATAACTAATATGGTGGACTTCAAAATCGCCCGCAACAATTAATAGTTTTCGAAGACTATTAACCGATCGAGTTTATTTTTGTTAAATCTTGGATTTGAGTTACCTGGTATATAAAAACTCACTAAAGTCAATAACTTTTTATTTATTTATATTTAAATTGCTACATTATGTAAGCAGTTGTCAAAGAAACTATTAATTTTTTGGAAATTTATTATGTACAAGTATGGCTACCCGATTGTGATCATTACCACAGTCATTTCTCACAATGGAATATCCATTCGTATTGAAAGTGTGGTGTGGCTTTAACCATGTGTCACAAATTAAGGCTATGTGGCTTTAACCATGTGTCACAAATTAAGGCTATGTGAATTATTCCAAAGGTTTCCTTACAATCATAAAGAATCTTCTGAAATTCATGTCGATTGCTTAATAAACTTTGTGCATTCCACTGTACTATAAAAATTGCGTTTTTATACATGTTGATGTTCTATTATTTTTATTCTGTAAAGTTTCTTCAATGGTGTCTAAAACTATTTGAGGACTGATACTTGTATTGTTTGTTTTATTCAATGTTAAGACTTTAATTAAGCATTCAGTGATTACATTTATAGCTTTTCCATTGTTGAGTATCAAATTAAACAATTCCTGACTATTTTCGATCTTATTTAATAATTAAAAGTTTTTGTTTTGTTATTGAATAAATTTGAAAAAGGAGTGGTGGTCACTTTTGTTTTATTTTCCATTATTTTTGTTTCTTTTTTTATAGGGCATTGCCCTGATACTGATAAATGGTTCCCTTGATAATGGATAGAGGTGGCCTTTTAAAGGAACATTACATTACATCTTTGAAACTGTGAGATCCTGTACAAATTGAGCAACTTTGTGAGTTGTGGCAATATTTAGCCAAATGACCGAACCTAAGACACTTGAAACATTGCTTTACAGGTTGCATAAGGCAAAACTGGGAGTCGCCACATTTTTATAAATACAAAGTGGTAAAGATACTGTGGCCGAAAACGTAATCACTGCAGATTGGGTAGGCACTAGCTGAAATTTGTCGTCTACTTATACTTTTTTCATCAGACGCCAAACACATATTTTTTTTGGAGCTAGAGAGAGCATTAAATATTTTTTATTAGACATTTCTGTGGGGACAGAGTTGATAACTCCTATCATCTCATTGGTTCCTGCAGAGATGGACGCCTTAATGTTTTATTCTCGCTGATATGTCGTATTATCTAAGAACGTATTGGCTAGGTTGGCGCTATTGAAGATTACGCCTACTTTGTATTTGTTGAATACCGATACGTCTAGTCATAGAGAAAACTAATTTTGGTTGCTATGTTATTTTTTTGTTTATCTTTGTTTAAATTTTCTGTGTCATAAAAGACTATATTATTTTTAGATTGTATAAGACGGGTATTAACGCGATAAAATTTTCCCGACGTTTCGACCAACTCGTTAATACCAATGAGTTTAATAACGAGAGAAGCAATCCCATACAACAGACGCGCCAAAAAGCGTAGCACTCACAGAAATATATCTAGTTAGAAGGAAAAAGTGTACGTACTTCGCGTGCCGAAACGACGTCTAGACAGCTTCATTGCTCGCCGCGAGGCTCAGTCCACTTTCGATCGCAATCGGTGTTGGACGAAATTTAAAATGATGCGTTGTTCGATAATTACCTGCTCAAACACCACCAATATGGTTGGATCTTATAGTCGAGGTATTTCCTTCCATCGGTAAGTAACTATTGGCCTTGATATATCTATTTTGAATTAAAAATCATTAGTTTTGTTGCTCCGTATTATTTTTATCAAAACGGTCATGTGTCCAGTAATAGCTTTCCATTGCGGCTTTAATTTGACAGTCCAAATTTGCTGTGCTTGTAAAACCATCGATGTATAATTCAAGGTCAATTTGTTGGAGGACAAATTATCATTTTTTCTGTCAAAAATGGAGAATAGTGCTGTACAATGCGATTTTTTTACCCGATTAAAAAAATATCGTTTTTGAAAGCAGAAGAAAGGATAAATAATTTTATATTGAATAATACTGTAGTTTTTGTTTTAGTTTTCCGTATGATCCTAATATTAAAAATAAATGGATTGAAGCAACAGGACTAAGGCAAATAGTAGGTATACTTACTGGACATGGAAACTTTTACAAACACCTATATAACATGGGTTATTCTGACAGTCCTCTGAACAGGGCGTGCATGGAGACTGAGGAGATTGTCTCCTCAGTCTCCATGCACTCATGTGATACTGGAATGCAGGAGCCTATTAAGACAAAAGGACTACATATCTATGAAGCCCAAGGATACTAGTGGAAGCATGCGGCAGAGTTCGAGATCTTACGGGCTTCCTGGAGGAGCTGGGATGGCAGGACTAAAGCAACCCCGTGTCTGGAAAATAGGAACTGAGTATCGAGTTGCAGAAAAGCCCGCCGTGAAACATAACATAACAACATAGGACGTAAAAATGTGTAGCGTGTCGGGAGGGGGTAGCGGCTACTACAAAGTGTTTGCCCACAGAAAAATGCCGATTTCTATTCTATCGCATAAAATCTTTTTTGCGCCGATTCACTAAATTACATACGTCAGTTCGTGACATATACATAATATTTAAGCAAAATGGTAGTCTGTCTATAAAGTCATGAAAAAAATTGAGGGCGCTTCGATCGTGCACGTAGCAACCCTGTGTAGTGAGACAAATGATTTTGATAGTAGGATATTTTTTTTACTTTTATTACCCCAGAAAAGGTAAAGAAAGGCGTATAATTCGTAGACAATGAGTTTATTCTACATTGAAGATTACAATATAGTAATCGTAATTTTTGATAAATCTTTTTTCGTAATTTTTGATAAGTTGTTTTCTCGTTTTACTGCAATGT